CACACACACAAGTATAATCATCAATAAATTCGACTCACCGGCTACCTATTCTAAGCACCACGTCAGAGGTGTCTCGCTTTGATCAGATATTTTTTGTCGGATTCCGTGATTCCTCTTGGTGTTATACCAGTTTAGGCCAACTATAGAAAGTACAAGCATGAACGTTTCCTGTAAACTTGGATTTTGTAGTCCTCCGGAAGTCTCACATGGTTGAGGGATAAAAATTTCTTCGCTTGCGAGTGGTCACCATTTCTTTGGACCTCACAAAATGCTCCTGTAAAACCATGCTTCTGAAACAGCCTCTATCGGGGAAGCCCTAACCACTACCCGTACATGGTGTTTCCCACAACAAAGTGATAGGACGAATTGCCAACATCCACGGCCATAACCGGATGGGTGAACCGTTGCAAGTTGGCGAAAACCCTTGATCCTAAACCAACCAACAAGAGGCGTACGAACCAAACCCACTGTTGTGTTTGGTCTAGGCGTACGAATGACACGAGCGACTCTTGCTTAAACCCCAGCGACTACGCAGAGAGAGAACACGGGGTGAGACCACAGTCACCNCCGTGTGTTCCTCGATTCGATATCGATACGTAAAACAGCGAATCGTGCATACGAGGGCGGCGCAGTGACGCACCAATCAGATTGTGCCCTTGACATATCGATTGATCGATTGGACAAACATTGGCTGACACCTGTGATCATCCAATCAGGTTCAGCCTGTCTGGAGCGTAGCGAGTGTGCGTGTGACCGGACGCGTAGGCGTGCGCCATCGGACTGGTTGCATAAGCTCCGTCCTAACACCCACACCTTCCTGATTGATACAGTCATCACCGGCTCAAGTAGGCATCGAGGTGCATTGGGCACCCTGGGTGTTCGATCCCGTTCAAAGGACATATGATCCCATGGACCAAAACCCCCTGAGAAATGAATTCCGGTTTTTAAACACGCCACTTTGCGGGTCGGGTTTGGTCTAACTGGAGGCACTGGTTGTGAATTCTCCAAGAAAATTATCCGGCTTTAGTCTGGGTTGCTCGCTAGCATTTCATCCTTCACTGAATTATGAACCGATTCCTTGATTACAAAAACTATTGTAACGTGATTTGTTTGACATAGGCTGAACTCGAGGTTTGTGAAATATAATAAAATGCATGGTTTCTTTAGGGGAGTATTTTCCATGTTTCAGCAATTTAAATATTGTTCATCAACATTAAAGTGGAATCGTTCAACACATTTGAGGCATGACCAACTCATGTAACTTATGTAAAACATTCTTTTCTTTTTATCCATCTCATCAACATAAGAAGACATATGCGAACAGAAACGATATTGGCCATCAATTTCACGTGCTTTCATTCAGTTGTACACTCATATTTATATGATCATGTAAAACGACGAAACGTAAGAACTGATACATAAATGTGCGTTTACAGCTGAATGAGAGCACGCAAAAATGATGGCCAGTATCAATCCCGCCCACGTATGTCTTCATGTAACTTGTGTGATGAGCTATGAAATGTACTTTGCGACAGCTCCCAAATTGGGATGAATCGCATTTCACAACCCTATCGAGATACGTTCTAGGATGGATCCGTTTGGCAGGTTCATTTTGCTCGTAAGGCGATAGGTTGTATCATCATCATCATCATCATTGCAAATGTAATCAACCTGATTGGTTTGGTTTCCAAAAATATCAGAGAAACAAGTTGGGGTCAATAGCATTTCGTGCATTATAAAAACCAATTGGTTTCGTCAGAAGCTACAAATGAAACGGATGTGTATGAATGAAATCTATATAGATAATAAGGCAATGAATTTTGGGGATCGATATGAAATTTTGGTCTGATCTCAGTGCCGTTATGGTTTCAGGTACTCTCGAATATTACAACTTTGCCCTAGCTAAATATCACGGAGTTTCATCCGATCTGTGAAGAGGATTTTTCCTGAGTAGAACAACACATTTATCTGTACACTGTTTTTACTGATTCTGTCGGGCTAAGCAAATGCTATTTGTATGCAGTAATACGTCTTTTGCATAAATAACGATGGAGAACTGCTTCGGTTCTTCACATATCATCGACTGTTCGTATCCAATACCCACCTGGAACACGACTCCCGCCAGACGGCAAAATGCTGTTCTAGCCTAGGGTTAAGCCGCCGTTGCTGTCAGACAGTGCAGAATCGTAGGTCCTGTTAGACCAACGGCATTGAGTTTGATCATGCACTTCACACTTCAACACATTAGGCAAAGGCAAATCACCGCCCCGTCTAACACATTATTGTCTGCGTGACACAGTTGTCTGCACCTGNAAATCTTACGCGTGAGCTAGAAGCCATGTGGCGTGTCGGAATCGATGGCGATTGCGATCATATCACACATGTAATGCGTTCGGTTGCCAACATTGCTCATGGATCGGAGTTTAAAGTCTGTCCATGACCCTAAGTTGCTCACTAGTCAGCAATCTTTATGAAACTTATGTGAGAAACATCAGCCTCGCGGACTCAACACATGAACAGATGGTGTCTTCAGAGTCAACTCTGAAAAAGCCTTGGTAAAGATCGAGAATATTGGTCGCCCAAAATAGCCAATGAAATGAAAGCAACCGCTGTTTTAGGAAATTGACGAACACTGATCCAACTGATACACAACATCACAGATCCTCGGAACTGGGCATCCAATATAACGAACAATGGTTTGATTGAACAGCTTACCCTACCTGGTGCTATCTGGGTTATCCCGGGGATTGCAGGGGGAGCCTCATGAGT